AAGAAATACTACAGGTAACCTACTCTCTTACTCTCTTGTCATATACAATTTTTCCAGAAAGATCCAACTAACATTGAAATATTATACCATAGATCCAACTAACCTACTCTGTTTCGAATTACGTCTTTATTTTGAGCTTGAGAAGAAAATTAAAGAAATCTTGACTGTATAAATATATTTAAAAAAAAAAAAATGTTAGACTTCTTAAGAAAAATTCGAAAGGGGTACCAGAAACAATGCAATATTCGAACATTTGTGATTACTTGGTTTTTTTTAAAAAAACTAATGATATATATTTAGCCTTTTAAGTTATCTAATTTCATATACCAAAAACAAACACTGAAATATGTGTATATATAGATGTAACATTGTAAACTCATCCGTAGATGAATAAAGATAGTGACATCAATCTTAATCCAACATTTTATACTAACTTTTAAATTGTTATTTTTTGAATTATTTTCATAATTATCCCCTAAAATACGTACATTATTTTAAAGTGTCCCTTGATTTTTAAAAACAATTTAAAACGCCTCCTAATATATAGAAAACAATTTAAAATACTCTTTTTATCCACTTCCGTTTATAGTCTTAATAGTCCGCTGACTTGACATATTATTAAAAATATTAATTTCTCCTTAAATCTATAAAGATGATTAAATATAAAAAAAATAAAATAAATCAACTGATTACTTTTCAAAAAAAAAAATGTTTTCTTCCTCTTGTGAAAACTAAAATGGCTACCCACATCATATCAAAAGCTGAAACATCTTGAAAACAATAAAAATAACATATCCAAATCATCTCATTCAAACACCTTCAAAATAAGAACATGAATAATATTAGAGAAAAACACGAATTAGAAAGAAACAGAAGAAAGTCATATCTGCACACTTATCCTCGTCAGCCGTCCCGCCCCTTCAAGGCCTTCAACCCCCACACTTGTGAGACCCAGCCCCTGCCACCCTCACCGCCGTGCAACTCATCCCCTGCCACCTATCGGCCACCGCTGTGCAACCCAGCCCTTGCCAACCCCATCGCCGTGCAACCCAAGCCTTATCGCCTTCATCCACGCACGAACCCATTCATCACCTAGGCCATGAATCCTCTCTGTTATCTTCATTTTGATCAAGCTTGACAAGGTGCTCCATGGGACTTTGGCTTTGAATTTTTGCATAAATGTATATTTTTGTGGGATTGAATATGAATTTTGTGATTTTGTTGCGTCACCCCGTCATAGTTTAGTAAATTGCCTCTTAAATTTTAAATTTTTGTTACAATGTGCCCCCATTTTATTATATTTGTGCAAATTTTTATTAAATTTAAAGAATTAATAGTTGAAGAATTAAAATATTTATGTTACATTTAAATTAAGATGTTAAATTTTTTTTATCAAACATGATTTTTCGATATTAATTTAACACAATTATTATCAAAATAGGGTATATTATAATACTTTTACAAGTTGAGAGGATAATTTACTAAAATTAAAAATTCAGATGGCAAGTTCCTAAAAGCATATAAGTTGGAAAATGTGTAAAATACCCTTATATGTATTATAGGCTTTCGCAGGACATGTTCATGGCAGGAATTGAAACTACGTCAACAGCATCGGAATGGTTACTTAAAATGGAGCATAAAATGGAGGATATCAATCAAATGGGTTACTTAAAATGCGTTGTAAAAGAATATCTAAGGCTACATCCACCAGCACCTCTTTTAGCTTCTCGAGAAACAACTGTAAGTGTTGAGATAGGAGGCTACTACGTTCCCGCAAACACGACGGTACTTATAAATGCTTGGGCAATTCATAAGAAACCAAGGGCTTGTTTGGTTGTATTTTTAAGTTATAGTGATTTGAGTGTGATTTGAGTGTAGAATTTGAGTTATAATTTGAGTTAAAGTTTGTATTTAGATGTGCACATTTGAGTTATGATTTGAATTAAGAATCCATTTGAATTTGTGTTTAGGTGGGTCAAAACTTGAATTTATATTTAAATAGTATTTTAATAAAAACTCAATGGTGATAGAAAATTTTAATAGGGTATATGGGTGGAGTTTTATTCGTCTTTTCGCTGTGAACGCATAGAAAAAAAATCATCTTAATCGGAATTAAAATGAAAAAGCTATGGCGTTTTTAAGAATAGAAAAAATATTGTTTATTAACTTGAGTTTAAGTTTATGAACTTGAGTCGAAAGAGAAACTTAAATTTTACAAAAGAATATAAAATTGAATAAAATTGTAACTTAATTTCAAACTTTTTTTGAATTTTAGTCCAAAAGAACAAACCCTAAGTTTGTCAGAGGAGTTCATCCCAGAGAGATTCGAAAACAACCCCATTAGTAATGATATCAATGTCCAGGACTTTCGGTTTGTTCCATTCCGATTTGGAAGAAGAAGATGCGATCTTTTTAATTAATGCTTGATGTTACATGTAATTAACTTATGTACTTGTTTCTATAATTTGATGTACATATTATATAAACACACATATATATGATGCGGCATCACCTATTACATAGGGAAATAATTATTTAAGCTTTTGCTTATTAAAGTAATTAATAATATTTTTGAGAAAATTTCAGTTTAACATGTGTTTTGTCCAACTCTACAATTTATACTAGTATACAAAATTTTGATGTCTCTATAGAAAATAACTTATAGGTTACGAAAGATAATCAGCAAGTTAAGAAAGATAATATGCAAATTATGAAATGATAAACTACAAGTTATTAATTGTATAAGATAAATTTACAATAGTAGCATAAATAAAATAGTGCTCCTTTAATGATGATATTTTTTATTTTCTCTCTATATTTTTTTATAAATGCGAATTTTTTGTAATTGAAATATGGAGTGTAGTTACTTAATTAAGAGAGTTGGAATATTATTGAAGAAGTTGTTGCAACTTGCAAAAAAAAAAAAAAGTATATATTATTCAAAAGAAAACGGACAACTATACAAAGAGAATATTGATAACAGAATTTGCAAGTAAAAACGACTGGTCAATTGTTAACTGAATTAATGTATACGATAAATTCAAAATTTGGAGGATGAAATAAAAATAAGAAATAGAGTTTACATATATTTCTTCCTCATTTGCAGCACTGGAGTAAGCTTTGTACTTTTTAAGGATGGATTGAAACCATTTATTTTTACCATTATTGCTCTATAAAAAGAAAACAAATATACAACCATAAAAATTCATAAACTGTTACACACGTTTTCAAATTTTAAATTTTATTTACCATTTAAGACAAAAAGCGAGTCTCTTCTCCCATTATACAACATGTCATTTGAGGGCTCAACTGCAAAAATTTTAATTTAGTGAAAACAGGAGTAGAAAGGAGATTTAATGGCACATAATGAGCAAAGAGATTAACAGACGCCAGCAGATAGAAAATTTGGGGATCCTGATACCAAGATTTTCAAAATGGAGATCTTAGGGGCGGTTTTTTGCTCTTTTTGAGTTAGGTGATTTGAATGTAGATTTTAAGTTGAGTTTGAGTTATAACTTGAGTTGAAGTTGTAACTTGAGTTTGTATTTAGTTGTGCACATTTGAGTTATGGTTTAAGATAAGAATCTTTTTGAGTTTGTGTTTGAGTGAGTTAAAACTTGAATTTGTATTTAAATAGTATTTTAATAAAAACTCAATGCTGATGAAAAATTTTAATAGGGTATATGGGTGGGGTTTTATTCGTCTTTTCGTTCTTAACGCATAGAAAAAAAATCATCTCAATCAGAATTAAAACGAAAAAATTATAGCATTTTTAAGAATAAAAAAAATAATATTCATTAATTTAAATTCGAGTTTCTGAACTCAAGTTAAAGGAAAAATTTAAACTCAAATTTTAATCCTAAACTCAAGTTTAAATTCAAATTTAAATTCAAATTTAAATTTAAAAAAATATAAATTTAAATAAAATTATAATTCATATTATTATTATTATTTTTTAAAATTTTTAACTCGAAAAAGAAACTACGGAACGGAAAGGTCACAAGTGCGAAAGTTTGGGAACCCGTCGCAAAAATTCCCCTTTTTCTAAATTACCACGAGGGGAGCCAGAACAAGCGGACGTCAGATATTTGGACTTGTACGGCTGCATTCAAATCTGGTGGTAATAACAATTTGACTTTTTTCATGGAAATGATAAAATATTTGACTCGGAGTTATACAATTCTGTGTGACAGGTAAAATATTCAAATAATTGATGCATGCATCTTTATGTTCACCAAACTTGACCATATCTCATTATTGAGGTAACGTGCAATAATTCATTCGACGGCTCCACATTCTCTGTTCTTACTTTTTTTTTTTTATATAGTACGGGCTTATGTCTCCCATTATATTTAAAAAGTAATAAAATCATTAAAACTCAAATTATATTTAAAAAGAAATAAAATTACTAAAACTCAAATTTTGGATCACACACTCGTACACTCACCATTCGTTCACTCACGCACCTAACTATTTGAGTTAACCTCAAACGTTACATGCTAAAACTACTCGAGCTTAGACAAAAATAGTAATAGAGACTCCATTTCTCAAGTTAGGTACAAACTCTAAAAGCTCGTTTGTTTCATATACTTAAACTTAAATTATTGATTCTGTTATAGTATTTTTTAAAAAAAAAAAAATTTAAAATTTAAACGTCAGAATCAAGAATAATAATTTGAATATACATCTTTTCAAACGGGTGTTAAGATGGGTACATTAAGCCTCATTTATTTTACTAATTTGAGTTTTGTTATAGTAAAACATTATTAGAAATAGTCATATCTAACTTTTTTTTTACAGTAAAAAGCTCACATAAACTTACATCTCAACTCGAATTAAAAACTTGTGGCAGCTAGATCGACACTCGTATACATTGACATACCAAAACTACTAGAGCTAGCCTCTAGTTGCATTATTTGGTCTTACATGCTAAAACTAATCGAGCTTAAATAAGAAGAGTAATAGTGACTCCGTTTCTCAAGTCAGGCACAAACTCTAAGATGGGTTCGTCACAAGTTTTCAACAACTTGGGGCAACTAGATCCCTTCTCCATCTCTATTCGCCTTCTTCTTCCTCTTCTTCTTCTTCTACTTTTGCTTCTCCTCTTGTTTGGACGCAACAAATTATATGGAAAATTGAACTTACCTCCATCACCCCCAAAGTTACCAATAATTGGAAATCTTCACCAGCTTGGAAATAACCCACATAGGTCTCTAAGATCACTGTCCAACAAGTATGGCCCACTTATGCATCTAAACTTCGGCCAAATTCCGACCCTGATTGTTTCGTCTCCTGATATGGTAGAAGAAATTGTTAAAGCCCACGATGTCGTTTTTTCCAACCGGCCTAAAACGACAGCCACCGATATCTTGTTTTATGGACAGAAAAACATCCTATTTTCCCCTTATGGTGAATATTGGAGACAAGCTCGGAAAGCCTGTGTACTTGAACTTTTGAGCCTCAAAAGTGTGCATTCTTTTCAGTTTGTGAGGGAAGAAGAGGTAGAAGTTTTGGTCAATAATATAAGGAAACTTTGCCTTAGTGGGAATTCAATTAATCTAAGCAAGTTGTTGATTTCAGCCTCCAATAATACAATGTCAAGATGCATTCTTGGGCATAGTTATAAAGCTGAAGATGGTTCTATTAAATGAGTGACATCGATCAAATGAACTACTTAAAATGTGTCGTTAAAGAAAATTTTAGACTACATCCACCGGCTCCTCTTTTAGCTCCGCGAGAAACAACCGCAAGTGTTAAGATTGGAGGCTACGAAATTCCTGCGAAGACAAGGGTCTTTGTCAACGCTTGGGCGATTCAAAGGCACCCGAGCTCGTGGGATGAACCGGAGGAGTTCGTCCCGGAGAGATTCGAGAACAACCCGGTTGATTTGAATGGTCAAGACTTCCAATTCATTCCGTTTGGATTTGGGAGAAGGAGATGCCCAGGGTTGGCATTAGGGCTTGTTACCATTGAATATTTGATTGCCAATCTTTTGTATTGGTTTGATTGGAAGTTGCCAGATGATGGTGGATTGCCAGAGGACTTGGACATGACGGAAGTTTGCGGGTTAAGTGTTCATAAGAAATTTCCTCTTCATGTTATACCAATATTATCTTGCTCGGTTGTTCCCCTTAATCTGTAGGCTAAACCTACTTATACGGATTTATGGCTCGTTCTACTTTATATATGCAACACTTTCCAGCCCTTGCTTTCCTTTGCTTGGTCGAGTAATATTTAATAATTTCTTACACGACCAACTTGTATGAGCTTTAAAGGTATAGAGTAAGATGGCGCCCGTTTTATTTTTAACGTTTCAAATAATGTCTAACCAATTACATTTTGTCATATCATATAATGAACAAACATAAAAATAAGAATAAAAAAATTGAATTTATTTAAATAATATTTGACTGGTTAGTTAGACACTATTTTAGACACTAAAATTAAATAAGAGATTTGAGTCCTTAAGATATAATATCGTACTATGAGATTGAAAACCTTCATATAAAAATAAGAATTTCTATCCATCGAAAAAATCAAGGCAAGGCAAACCGGGAGGTAAAACCAAGTGAAATAAACTACTGATCGCACGCACCAGAAAAGCTCTTTCCAAACTACAAGTTAATAGATCATGTATTAGTTATTCCTAATTTAAAGAAGAACTTGCTATATGTTACTCAACTAAACTACTCATTCAGTGCTTGTGTCTCTAACTTTGATGCTAATGGATTCATGATTAGGAATCAAAATCAAAATACAAACAAAATGTCATAGGAAGGGACACATTTACGCTCTTTGTTAGGAAGCACAATTGCAAGCCTTGGCAGCTATGAAAACTACTCAGACGACTCGTCAACTCGTGGCGTCAACGAATGCGACATCTCTATTCACATCTTCTACAAGTACTTAATAAGTGAAAAGAAAGTTTTGTATCTATATATCCTGTTGGCTAAATAAGAAATTCAATTTGTACAACTTGTCAACTTCGCAAACCAAGCAAACTCTCTTTTTATCATTCAAATAAAAATACCATTAAATAAGTAAATAATTAATAAAAAAATATACGGGTGCATTTTGTACAGAGTTTAGATAGATCCCCATCCGGATGGAGAGCTTCTCTTCAAAGCGCTAGCCACCAACTTTCCTAGCAGAAATAGTAGAAAATAGGCCAATATGAAAAGCTTAAGAAAGTATATAGCTAGGCCAATTTTTAGTTATAGAAATTAATATGTCATAATTTGTCAAGTTATAGTTCATAACCAGATAAGTTATGGTTCATAGTCAGACAAGTTATGGACAAAAACTGTGAATTATAGACAATAACTCGTCAAGTTATGGTTCATAACCAGACAAGTTATAGACAAAAACAGTAATTTGGCCTATTTATTAACTTATGTAAATTATTAACCTATTAATTTTAATTCATCTTAAGTCTTGACTTATTTCCCTCTTTCTCCATTTTTCTAGTTCCGTTATTGTACCCATTTACTATCTCTTGTTTTCTCGACAAAACAAAAAACAAACAAAACAAAAACAAACAAAAAAAACAAACAAACGCTGATTTTGGGTTGCATTACTCCAACCTCGCTTGAAAAGTTACTGTTAAAAAAACAGTTCTTGTCAATCAAAGTTTCCTTTCTATTTCCATTTGGTTCTCTAGAAGCAAGCTTGAGTTCTTAGCTACTTTTTCCAAATATATTTGTTAATGTTTTTCTTCTTCAAGACATTCATGTTTCCGGCGAAGAGTTGAAGAAGGTGGGGAACAATTCGATTGAGTTAAGAAAGAATGGGAATAGCAAAATTTTCATTTGAAAAACGGCCATTTGGCCAAAATAAAATAATAATAATAATAATAATAATAATAATAATAATAATAATAATAATAAACTTATTTTCCAATATCTTTTAATATGAGTGGTTAAAAGAAGCCACCCGCCCAAATTTCTCTTCTTTTATTATTATTATTTTGATCAGTTTTGGTAGTCCGATAATTTAATTTGGTAACTATGTTATGATTTGCTCATCCTTTTTTGTTATTTTTGTTATTTTTGTTATTTTTGTTAATTTCACAACTTAATTTGGTGGATTACCAGTAGTAACCTAGTAGTTTATTTATCCGAGTAATTTTTGTTTGTACAAGATCATCAAACTAGTAATGTGTGTTGATTTGAGTTAGGGGTGTGTAATCCAACTAAACCGTTTATTTTTAGGTGAAATGTAAACCAAACCAACTACGAATTAGTTTAGAGATTTTTAAACTAAACTAAATTAATTAAGGGATCTAATCCAATTCAAACCAAACCGATTGTAATTGGTTTGAACTAATATTTTACAACATTTTTTCAAGTCTCAACAATAATTGGTACTAATATTTTGTGTGCCCTTTTGTATCTTTTTCTCTTTTTTCTAAAGACAATGAAGTAAAAGTAATTAAATTATAGATATATTTATATAATATTAGTTGTGAGTCATAATTAAATATGATATTCAGCTTTTCTAAATGTATGAAAGAAAACAAATATAGACAAATTAAAGACATTTATTATTACAGAGGCTATATTCACGTTAACAAAGAGGTAAGGCTTCGGAGAGAATCACAACCAGAACCTAGAGGAGTAGAGAAATAGAATGAGAGGAGAGGAGCGAAGACAGCTTGAAAGTAGACCGCAAAGGCAGTGTTAGTTCTGTACATATAGGTTATGATACAAACTTTTAGTGTTATGATCATTTAATTTTAGCATAAAAGAGTTTTTTAAATATGAATAAATTAAAGATTTATGAAATATATATAATTTTAAGAAAATTATATAAATAAAAAATAATTGGGTTTGGTTTGATTTTGAAAGAGTAAAATCATGAGGCAAACCAATTTAATTGGTTTTTTTAAAAATTTAAACCAAATCAAATTGATTATTAATTGGTTTGTTTCTTTTTTTTTTAGTTTGATTTGGTGGTTTGAATACGTTGAATGGTTTTTTGCACACCCTTAATTTAAGTGATATAATATTTTATTAACAAAAAAAATTACAATTTAACAAAAAAAAAATATAAGAGATAATTTGACTGATATTGTAGCCCTCGTTTGTTTCAGCAATTCTAACCCAACAATTCAATTCAGATTGTTGTGCAAGGTTCACATTGATGTTTAGTAGAGAACTAAATGAGGACAATTCAAACCATTAATCCCCTCAAATTCTAACAATCTGAATGTTTTTTACAGTGAAAACAATTTGGATCTTACTTTTTTTTTCTACTCAACTTTAAGTTTACAAATTTCATAACTTTTTCGTTATAATTCTGATTGAGAGTTTAATGTGTTCATAATGAAGAGATGAATAAATTCTCATCCATATTGCATATTTTTAATGTCATTTACAATAAGGTTTTTTAAGATGTGTTATAAAACTCTAATGACAGTTTTAAATATTCTATCCAAACACAGTTTAAACTTATTGTCAATTCAAATTACAGTTTATTAATGTATCTAAATATCAATTCTAATCACAATTAAAATTACCATAATTTAAATCACTACAATTTCAATTAAATCAACAATTTAAATCGTTAAATTAAATAAGGCCGTAGTTTATTTAAAAAATATATAAGTGACCAGCAACCATTGAGATGACTTATGTTGAAAAATAATTTAATATATTACTTCAGCGTCGGAAGACAATTTTGTTAAAACACATTGTTTGACATTTGACTGGTTCTCTAAGGCGGCAGAATTTTAACTCCTACTAAGTCGCTGAGTTTTTACTATACTTTATTAAAGTAACATTCCTGTTGATTTCATCAGGAAAAAAAAAAAAGAGGAAAAAAAAAGTATTTTGACTTCAATTGCTACTCTCTCTCTCTCTTCTTCTTTTTCATCTGTTTTAAGATTTTAAGCAGTTATTTTAGTAGGATTAGAAAATTAAATTATAAATAATTTTTTATTTTAATCAACAAATTTATATTAAAAATTTTTATATTTTATATACTTTTATAATTAGACGTGTATCTAATGTTAAAAATCAACAGATTGAAAGAACTAACCGAAAGAAAAACTCTTTTTAAATGACGTTGTCGTATATGCTCAAGTTGTTACCATCATATTTGACTACACATCAAGGAAGTAGGAACCATCCAAGTTTTGAATATTTTATTGTTACAAAGGTTCGCCTTTTAGTATCTCCTATCCTTTGACCAATTCAAGCCCACTCATCTGAGTTGATCTTATAGATTTGGATAAGATTGCAATGGGAAGGTTGTTTGGTTGAGAGATTCGTCCTCTGATTTGAATTATAGTTTGTGGTTCGTTACAGTATTTTCTCTCATAAAAAATACACGTAAATTAAAAATAATTTTAATCACATGGTTCTAATCCATAAACCAAACGTTAATAGATTTAAATGGCAGGTCTAAAAAGAAGAACATCAAATGCCATAGAAGAACCCATTTTTTGCCATTATAAATAAAGATTGCATCTTTCTTTATATATATATATATATATATATATATATTGGTCCGTTTAGTTAGTTGATTTGAGTTTTTAATTTGAATTGAGATATGAAGTTAGTTGATTTGAGTTTTTAATTTGAATTGAGATATGATTTTATGTGAGAGCTTTTTACTGTAGTAAAAAAGTTAGATGTAACTGTTTCTGAGAGTTTTTTACTGTAACAAAACTCAAATTCTAAATTTAAATGGACCATAGTGTATTAGTTTTACCAGTTTCTGATTTTTATACTTCTGACTACATTATCTTCAAGTGAACTTACTGGATATGCATGTGCATAACGTTTTAAAAAATTCCGTTAGTTTTCTCCTACATTAAACATTTTCTTCAAGTCAGCTTATTAGATTATTGTATATGTATTGTTGTTTTACCTATTTCTGCCGTCATAATTCTTCCCAGATTTTCTTCCAGTGAACTTGACATTTCGTACACATTTCTGTGCAAATCATCCTACAAGTGTACCCAGTTGGATCCCACTTTGGCAAAACCAGAAGTTTTCAAACCACGCTATTCATGCCTTAAAAGAGAAATCACAATGGAATATAGGAAATCTAACATCATGAACAATTTAAAGTCCTATAAAAAGTAGATAAAAGCATATTAAAAGAGTTGGCTAGCTTATAAGGTATATATAGCCACTATAGTTTTCCATGTGATATTCCCTTTGAATATTCGTTTTTCATTCCGCCAAAAGTAAAAGCTAACCAAAAAGCTCCCTCGAACATTCCATCCAATATTCATTAGGTTCTCACTTTCTCATTATTTATTATGAGACAACGCTCAAAACTAGTGATTGTGTTTAGACGAAATAAGTGTTTAAAGTATCACTTATCTTTTGTTTAAGAGTCAAAAAAATATATATATATCTAAATTATTTACTTTTTTTTAAGATACCAACCCTACAATAATAATATGTATAATAGATTATTTTAATCGTTTATTTAATATAAATTCAACAAAATGATTTTTTCAAGGTTGTAATTTTCAAAGAATATAAAAAGTGTAAGAAAACTAAAAGGGAGAAAGAGAAAAATGACTTGAGATGGATTAAAATTAATAGGCCAATAGTTTACATAAGTTAATAAATAGGTCAAATTATTGTTTTCATCTATAACTTATCTGGTTATGATCCATAACTTGATAAGTTATTGTCCATAACTTGTCTAGCTATGAACCATAACTTGACAAGTTTGTCCATAACTTATCTGGTTATGAACCATAACTTGACAAGTTATGACCTATTAATTTCTATAACTAAAAATTGGCCTATATACTTTCTTAAATTTTTCATATCGGCATATTTTCTACTATTTCTCAAACTAAAATCACCGTTGATCTTATCCACTCGCTCCTAAGATCGATTTGGGTATGACTTGACCCTTTTTATCCCCGATGTTTTGTTAAGCGCAAGCCCCACCCCCTCATAACCCATCGTCTCTCCTTTGCTTTTGAATAATTTTAAACATTCTTACTTAATTAATAGTTTAATTAACATTTAATATAAATTGGTAATTGAAGTCTTGTTATCCTCAAAATTTTAAATCTTTAAGGGATATTGTTTTATTAATTTAACAAATAGAAAAGATTGTTTAAATATTTGTTTAGTAAGAAGCATTACTGGACTGATTTGGTGGTTTTTAGGCCATCAGTCCGATTCCACATCATAACGGTTTACTAGTGCTTTAAATCTGGACTAAACTATTTTGAAATAGTCCGGTCCAGTTTGAAAAATATTGTAAACGGTCCAAATTAGACAAGACCATTTTACATATACATATTAAAAATATAAAAAAATTATTTTTATTTGCTATTTTTTAGGCTTTTTTACCTTCTACAATGCTAATTTAATTTAATAGGTTACATATAGCATATGATTTTGTTCATTTGTTGTATTTAATTTTTATTTGGACTCTAATAAATATGAAATATAATAATTAACTTGTAAGCCTTTTTTTTTTTTTTTTACTACTCTATGTACGTATATTAAGGATGACATAGGTAGTATTTCTCTATACATAGAGATATTCAAGCTATTTTCCTTTTTATTATTAGTATCTTGCATATTTCCCTAAAAGGCTTTTCAAGTTCGTAAAATTTGAATTTACATTTCTATCCCCTTACTCAACCATCTTGGTAACATTCAACACATATCAACGGCTCAAAAACGTTCCACGTGTCTAACTTCAAGCTTCAAACCCAACATAATAGGAGAGAAACCTTGTCACATGTGGATATGTACAAACTGAAGAGCTTAAGGAATATACCAGAGGAAAAAAAAAATACTACACGACACTTGAAACAATTTAAATTAAAATTTAATTTAATCTGACTTGAAATATTAATTCTTAATTAATCCGACGATTAAGAACAGAATCCTACTAAAAAGGTATATTTTTTTAGTAGCCCACCATATGGTTCTTTGAAAACTAAAGCGCCGACTATATGTATATATATATATATATAACCACCATGTGTCTCTCTAGTGAGAGAGATTCTGTCTTACAAACTTAATGGACCTCCTCTAGAGAGAGAGAGATTGCTCCCACAAATAAAAACATCCAAACATGCCTACAACAACATCACCGGACTCCGGTGACCACCGGTCACCTCTTCTCTCTCCGCCGACCAAGCCCGCCGGAGAGTCCGACCGGACTCAGAAGGTTTGCATCGACGACATGCTCCAAAACTACTGCGGCGAGTTCGGGCGGTGGCAGCTGCGGCACTTTGTGCTCACAAGCCTGGCGTGGGCCCTGGAGGCCTTCCACACCATGGTCATGATCTTCGCCGACCGCGAACCCGACTGGCGGTGCGTCGGGGGAACCGAGTGCGACCGGGCGGTCAAGACGGTCTGCGGGCTCGAACCGGGTTCGTGGGAGTGGACCGGCGGACCGGGGAGCTCGACCGTGGCCCAGTGGGGATTGGTTTGTGGTGAGAAGTATAAGGTTGGGTTGGTCCAAGCTTTGTTCTTCGGCGGCTGCATGATTGGTGAGTTACTCCAATTTTTTTTTATTTTTTATTATTTGATCCTCTTTAGTCGGCGATAATTTCTCTCATATTATTATTTTTTTATTCGAGATAAGATTTTCTTGTTTCTAAATCATAGTTATTGGATTTTAATAAAATGGACCATCTGAGTTTATGGAATAACTAGTTTGATAGCTAACATGAATGGGGTAGGATATTACATGAGCCTAGATTTGCTTCTTCTTTTTTTCCTTTTTTTTACATTTTCAAATAAAAAAGATTTTATATTTTTATTTTTTAAACTATTTCTAATGTATTAATGTGGTAAGTAGTATTGCATATAAGGAATATGAAATGCGTGAAGTAATGATAATTAGTTTACTTGAATAAAAAAAAAATTGTTTCTTGATCTGTCAGATCACGTCTATGTTTGTCTACCTGGACTTTTTCTGGTTTTAGTCATATTGTTTAGCTTTTTTGTTTTTTGTTTTTTGGTTTTTCCCGCAAATCATATTTGTTTATCTTGACTAGTACAGGGAAATGATTTGTTTTATTGTCTTAACTATAAATAATTGTCATAATTGGTGACAGTAGTATTCACGTGGATATCTATTCTAATTTTAAGAAAGGAAAACTTTATTCTTTTCACAATTCAATTTTTTTTAAGTGTCTTTATTCCTAAAAATTGGAGTTATTATTTGAGTTGTGGAAATTCTAACTCGTATATTTTGCTTACTATTTTTTTTTGAAATTTTTATGTGTTTAATGTAATGTGTAATTTTAAGGTTTCGTTCATTTTATCGATCCGAGTTTAGAATTCAAGTTTTATTATTATAAAAAACTTCCAGAAACAGTCATATTTAACTTTTTTATTACAGTAAAAAGCTCTCACAAAGTCACATCTCAACTCAAATTAAAAACTCGAATCAGTGAATTCAACGGCCCTAATTGTGTATATCTAGGATTAAGATATTAATTGATTATAATATATTTGTTAATTAAAAAATTGTTTCTTTGGTCAGATGTGCTTGTCTATCTTGACTTGTATGCGAAAAATGAAATCTTTGTTTCATTGTCTTTATTTCCATTAAGTTGATGAATCACTACCGTGGTTTAAATACATATAGACGATTAGTCCTAATAAGAAAGAAAACACAAAAACGGAAAGAAAACTTTAAAAAGACAATATTTCATCTTTGCCAAGCTTAACTTAAGAAATTTATAGCTAGGATTTGAATGCAAAACCTAATTATTAACTCTTAACAAAAGAAAAAAAAAAACACTTATATTTTTATTGAATTAATATGATTATGTGCTTGGTTTAACGGTCTATATTGAGGTTTAGAGTTTTTTTTTTTTCTTTATGGGAAGGTTTAGAGTGAATTCCAAAAAAGGTAATTACCAATTAATGAGCAACATAAATTCAGAAAATTGATAATCAAAAGGAAAATTTGGAAAATGTTTAATCACATTTAGTGGTACTAACATATATAATTTGAAATATAGTAAGCATAGGAGCGTTGCCTTTCTGGACATTTTTATTTTATTATTATTATTGTTATTATCATTATTATGGAGAACAGTTGGACAGTTGGATCCTTCACAACATAAAGCCTTTCTTGAACTTTCTGAGTTTTTCCTATTATTATACCTCTCCCGCTGAAGTTTTTACTGTTTATACATGCTCTTTAATTATTTTATTAATGAAAAAAGGAGTACATTCTTTTTATGTTAAAGCATTTCTGGAAAAAAGAAAAAAAATCAATATATCGCTAATAGGAAGAAAAAAAAATGTTCTTTTCCCTAACAATGCCCATATACATTTAAGTGGTTTGCACACTCACATGCATGGCCACCCTGTCTTTTCATTTGAATATAATTGCTTTGCTCGAATTTTATTGAACAATAAGTCCCGTTTAGTTCGCTGATTCGAGTTTTTAATTCGAAATGAGATGTGACTTTATGTGAGAGCTTTTTACTGTAGTAAAAAAGTTAGATGTGATTGTTTGTGAGAGCTTTTTACTGTAGCAAAACTCGAATTCTAAACTCGAATCAGCAAAATGAACGGGTTAATATGTCTCTCTAAATCTAAATTCCTTTTAATTTGTGGTCCAAAAATACTGTTGGCGTGTCAATATTATTGAAGATCATGTCATTTTCATAGTCACTACTACTACACTTTTCCATCTTGTGTCCTTGGTATTCCTTATTTGCGTTTTAATTTGTGTTCATTTTATTTATTTATTTTTTGGTGAATAAATTGCTTTCATTTTATAAGCTTGTGGGGAATCTTTTAACTGTATAATCCATGTTTATAGTTGTCTGATCTGGATTAGAAACTTGTCTATCTTGCATTATTTTTTTAATTTAATGTGATTTTTGATTAACTTAAATAGAAATTGACTCTACTAGTAGAAAGAATATTAATTCCAAAACGGAAAAGAAAAAAAAAAGAAAAAAAAAATAACAGATAAAGTTATAAAAGAAAACGTGTAGAATCATATTATCTTTGGAGGTTCATTTGGAGATCCTCAGTGAAGGAAGCGACAATAAGCGTGACTAAAGTGAGAAAATGTTCGACTGAATTATAAACTTTATAGGATGAGTACTAATTCCTTTATTTTCTGTTTGTCTCAATGTGTATATAAGTAGTTTTTGTATTTGTCGTTTTGCTCAAGTCTATCTGCAGAGAGATAAGTTCAAACCCTTTCTACTGCAATTTTAACATTCATTTATCGATAACAGTTTGATCCTCCTAAAACTCTTTTTTCCATCCGGACCAATCTGGTACTAGTAACATTTTTAGTTCGGTATTATAAATTATTAGTGCGTCTGTTAGACACTCAATTTATTTTAATCTAACACTCAATAGTTATAAATCAGTTAGTATTGATAACATCTACGTTTGGTTGGTAGATTCGTATCATGAGTTGAATCATGATTCGTAATTCGTTATAATATTTTCTCTCACAAAAAATACATGTAAACTGAGAATAGTTCTGAATCTATGAACCAAACGTCTACGGTGTATTTTGATATAGTAAAAAGTTTTAAAAAATAATCACATTTAATTTTTTTATTACAATAAAAATCTCTCACATAAAATCACATCTTTAACTCAAATTAAAAATTTAAATTAACGAACTAAATTATCACTGTCAGACTAGTTCGAGTGCGGATTGAAAACTGTGTGATCTTTTGGAGCTTTGCGCCAACCAAGATGACATAATGCTTATGGGCGGTAGTGTAAAAGGCGATACTAATGTGAAATTTAGAATTTGCCGAATAAAGACAAGTTGATAAAGACATTTTTTCGGTCGTATACATATGTTTAGAAGAAATCTCGACTTTTCTTTCTACTGTAGAAATTCCATTGTCGCGGAAATCAATAGAACCAACATGTAGCTTTTTGTGACATTATTATCAGGCTGTTTTCATTGACTAATTAATTATTTAATTAATAAAATTTATTGTTCCTTGTCTTTTTTTTTTATTTAATAAAATAAATTTTTTGTTCCTTCCTCTTCTTCTTTATTTTATTTTTATTTTTTTTATTTTTTATCGTTGTGTAACTTGTGCTCCTTGCTTTTGCTTGCGTCCTTTACACCTCGTGCCTTTCTTTCTATTTTTATCTTAATTTTTTTTTTCGTTTTTTTTTTTCTCTTGCTTGGACACATTATGCTCTAAGCAAAGCAATAATGAATTGCATCATATTATTATGATCTTGACCTTGTAATATTTTGTTTTTTCATGAAGTATGTATAAGTTTCCTTTGTGGTCCCTAGATACATTGAACATTGAAATTTGCATATGCATATGCATATTAAATTAAGAGTGCATTTATTGTGAAGAAAGTGGGAGCTGTGTTTTAATCATCTACGATAGAAGTAATTATGTCCGTAAATTTTTAATATAGATATGTATAGATTTAACCGTTAAAAAACTAATCCAACTATTAAAAATAATAGTTCTCATCGGTGGAAGAAAATAACCTCCCCTATCATAAAAATTCCCATAAACTAATGTTAAATTCTTCCTTTTTCCCTTTAAAAGCATAGACATGGGTGTTTACGTGTGTAGAGAGCTAGCTAGCCGCATGATTTACAATGCATTGAATTACAAATCAATACTGACAAACTTACATAAAAAGTGACAAAATACTTATATATATATATATGTATATATATACAAACAATATTTAACACAAAAGGTGATGAGGTTAAGTTAAACTTGCTAGTCATCAGCTTGGTATTTCAAATGCATCAATCTCTTTCTTAGATGCATGTTCCTCAATTGATTAGTACAGAGTTGGTTCAATTATCAAGTTAAATAGGAGCTATATATTTCCAATTGAGTATAAGTATTTTTGGGATAAACTCAATTAACATTTCAATTTGCAAAACTAAGTAATAAACATATTTATAATGTGGCTTAGTTAGTTCTTGATCAAATTCATAAGTAAGAATTACATTAATTTTTTGAGGAAAGTAAGAATTATATTAATATTTCTATCAAATTCCATTTTTTTCAGGCGCAGGAACATTTGGACACCTCTCAGACTCCTTCCTAGGGAGAAAAGGCTCCCTAACCGTAGTATGCATTCTCAACACCATCTTTGGTTGCCTAACGGCTCTCTCCCCAAACTACTGGATCTACGTCCTCCTCCGCCTCCTCACCGGCTTCAGCACTGGCGGGGTCGGCCTCTGCGCCTTCGTCCTTGCCACCGAGCCCGTGGGCCCCACAAAGCGCGGCATGTCCGGGATGTCCACCTTCTACTTCTTCTCAACCGGGATAGCCCTTCTCTCCCTCATTGCCTACCTCTTCCCCTCGTGGCGCGCCCTCTACATCGCCACATCGCTCCCTTCCCTCCTCTTCCTCCTCCTCGTCATCCCTTTTATCTCCGAATCGCCCCGGTGGTACCTCGTCCGGGGGCGACCCGAGGAGGCCATGAAAATCATGCGATCAATCACAGAATCAAACGGTAATTACGGCTTGCCGTACGGAGTAATCGTAGCCCTTGATGAGGACGCAAAATGTACTAGTACTACTACTACTACAACAACTTCTACCACTAATGATTTAAATGGTCAACATGACAAAAAGACGAAAGACACTGCCGTAAGTGGCTCTTTAGTCGACGTGATCCGATCCCCGGTAACCCAAATTCGCCTTTTCCTAGCCGTCGCCATAAACTTCTTGTGCTCCGTGGTTTACTACGGCCTAAGCCTAAATGTGGTAAACTTAGAAACCAACCTTTACATTAATGTCCTCCTCAACGCCGTCGCGGAGATGCCAGCCTTTACGATCACCGCGATCCTATTAGACAAGTACGGAAGGAAGCCCTTGGCCATTGGGACGTTGTGGTTCAGTGGCTTCTTCTGTTTGGTGGGAAGTCTTGTGGGGAATGATGGGGCTTGGAAAGTGGTGAGAATGGTGTGTGGGGTTTTGGGGATATTTGGCATGGCGGGCACTTACAACTTGCTCTTCATCTACACGGCGGAGCTGTTTCCGACGGTGGTGAGGAACGCAGCGTTGGGCTGCGCCACGCAGGCCGCGCAGATGGGCGCGATTTTGGCGCCGTTTGTTGTCGTTCTGGGGGGCGCGTTGCCGTTTGCGGTGTTTGCTTTGTGTGGGATACTGGCTGGGATTCATGCGTTTTATCTCCCTGAGACGCTGAATAGGCCTTTGTATGATACCATGGGTGGGATGGAGGATGGAGAGAAAGATCACGCACATGAATCTGTTTGAAGGTGTTATTATTTATTCTACATAGATTTATGTTAACTTCTCTTTTTGAAATAACATGCTTTCTCACTATAAAAAAAGTAAATGTGCTGCTTTCAGCACTTGGGAGACAACTGATTAAATTACATCTTAACCAAAATTGTAAAAGGAGTGAAAATAGTTGGAACGGCTTAACAAATAATCTATTATAATAATAAAAAAAAGGTAAAACAAATATTATTTTTAACACTTTGTTTGTTTCGCTAGTCCGAATCACAATTTAAGTTTTCGCTACCGTGTTTCTCTCACAAAAATTTAAATTAAATTTTTTTTCCTATAATATTTTCTTTAACATAAATTCATTTTTCAACTCGAGTTGAAAACTCAAACTAGCAAAACGAACAAGATTAATATAGAAGATTTTTGTGCATTTTTTTCAAATTGGCATTCACCTAACCCTGTAAGTGAGGTTAGATTCAGCTTTACAAGAAATGTAGCTTTTATCCTTCAAGCAAGCTAGTGTAGGTTAAATGATATGATAAAAATTCTATCATCGACATTGATTTTTATCCATTCCAAAATTACTTTCAAAACTGACCACTAGAATTATAAATCTATATTAGAGCGGTATATATGGTCACTCTACCATGTGGGCCAAGTCCAACGCTTAATGAAATAGGTAATCTTAACAAATACTCTTAAAAAGTGTCGTAAATCAGAATTTTTACTTTTTTACTTTTAATTTATAATTTTTTTAATTAAATAATTACCTTAATAAAAAGGTATTTATTAAGAATATGGAGTAAAATTCTAAACTCATATACTTTTAAAAGTAAATTAGGCTAGGTTGCAAAAGAGGAATAGAAGCCCAATCGTGCAGTATGAACGAGCTATACGAGTTAGATCATCCGGCAGGCTTAAAACCTAGGACTATCCCGCACGGCAATGGAAATCTGGGTGTGACCCAACATCAAGCCCAAATATATGGATAATGAACCAGACTATTCGACCCAACCCATATTTATAGTTCGAACTCTAATGAGTCCAAAATGAAGTTAAGTAAACTTCAGAATTGTTAATTAAAATAAGGGAGACAGAAGGAAATAGGTCAAGACTTGAGATGAATTAAAATTAATAGGCTAATAGTTTACATAAGTTAATAAATAGGCTAAATTATTGTTTTCGCCCATAACTTGTCTAGTTATGAACCATAACTTGACAAGTTATTGTCCATAATTCATAGTTTTTGTTTATAACTTGTCTGCCTATAAACCATAACTTGACAAGTTTATCCATAACTTATCTGGTTATGAACCATAACTTGACAAGTTATGGCCTATTAATTTCTATAACTAAAAGTTTACCTATATACTTTCTTAAGCTTTTCATATTGGTCTATTTTCTACTATTTCTGTTAAAATAATATTAACACATGTCATTTTCATTATGAGTCAAACGAGCTTATCCATATTGTTAATATGGAGAGAGATTGAATTAGTGTATTTTATATAAGTAGATTATATAGGACGGGGATAAGACATAATATGAATTTATGATAATTTCTATTAAGTAGAGAAATTCATTGAGTCTATCGATATCATATATAGAATAATATCTTGAGTTATTAGTAGACTCTTATTTGTAGATTTGTGTCTTTTAACTTACTCAGTATGGATTTTGAGATTACTAAATCATATTTCTTGCATCTTAGAGACATGTTAATGTAAGTAGTTGGGAAGGTTAATATATGAGATGAAATTTATTCCTTCCTGATAAAAGAAGTAGATAAATAATTCTTTTGAGAGTTGACTTGGATCAGTAGAAGCTCCGATTCATGAATTTTTTTTTATAAATCACTATTCGTTAAAGAATCATTGGTATTCAATGATAAAAATGTAATTAGAGAGGTTAACAGATTTCACCTAGCTCTAAAATTATTTATGGAGGATCAATCTATATGAAGTGGCTATATCAAATTGACGTTTCACCTATGTAAATAAATGTCTATAATATTAAGAGTGCATTTTCAAGTTTATAGTGGAGTAACTTTAGAATTAATAAAAGTAATTAATTAATTAAATAGTTTAATTAATTTTTAATTTAATTGAAGCTTGATATTATGGGTCTATGATTCCCAAGTCATCCTTATAATTCTACAAGATATTAAGGATAAAATGAGAAATTTAAAATTATGGAAGTCTAAATTAAATCACTAAAAAATAATTAATTGAGGATTAATTTGATATCAATAATGTAATTATTTAATAGGTAATTTTGTAACACACATGTGATGGGACCACATGGTATACACACCGATCATAAGAAGAATCTTTTTCGAGTTCAATTGCTTGCTCTTTAAATTATCTAGTTTATTAGTTTGACGTGAAGTACACTTACGGATTATTAAGAATCAAAATTAAAGTGTAATAATAACATATTAATGAAAATTAAGAGATAAATGTAAATAAAATAAGTAAAGCTAGCGGTCGTATATAACGACACCTCTCGTAAGAAAAGAAAAACGGGCAGTCGCATATAACAAAACCTCCCGTGAGTTAAACAGTTAGAGTAGGTGGTCTGAAATTAAACATCACTCCCTACAAATTAATGACAATATGGGTCGCTTAAAAACGCTAGCCGCGAGCTGAGTTAATTATTAGATAACAAAAAATAAGGAAAATACTAATAAAATATCGAAGAAACTAAAAGTATAGGAAATTAATAAGTGTAAAATTTACCAACAACAAAATATCATGCTAAATATATGTATATACTAAAAACTAAAGGAATAATTTTGATTTAATATTTATATATATATATATGTTGGTTTGTGGATGCGCCTCTATGTATGCGTATATATATATATTTATTTATTTATTTATGTGTGTGGGTTATATAAATATGTGTTACATATAGTTCTCTGGCGCCTAGAAATTAGTACGAAGTATAGGTATGGTAAAAAGCAAGCAGATGGTTCAAGGGATAAGAAAAACTAATGTTTAAGAGACAGCTTTTTTATTTACTGGAGGGAAAAGACAGACATTCACGGAAAATTGTTTCTTGGGTTTTTCTTTCTTCCAACCTCTCTCCCTTTTCTCTTTTTCGGTTTTTCATGTCTACTGTTCGAAACACCCAATCGAGTATATATATATATATATAAATACATGTGTCTATTATCATACATAAAAAGTAGATGAGAATATGAAATTTAAATTTGAGTTAAAATTGGATGAAAGATAAATTTTTCTCCTCTTACTGGATAAAGTGGCGCCAACCACAGACAGATTATCCTTGTGATGGCGAATTTCATAATGCACACGAGAGAAAAAATAGTTCTAAAATTAAATGAGAATTTTTATCTTAATTTTAAATAAGATTTAAAATAAGCATTAATCACCAATTTTTTGAAGTCTCATCTTGTGGGACTCTAATTGGTACTTCATAAATAGGTGGGAGTAGAAAATTAGAGAGCACAATTTTACTCTATTTTCTCCTATAGTGGCCAAATTTTAGAGAGAAAAATAGGGAGAAAAGTTCTTCCAAAATTTTCGAGACTAGTGAGTTGAGTGCAAATCCCGTTTTGTTTCAAATTGTGCCCATACACACATAGTCTTCATAGAATCAAGGAGTAAATGAGAAAGCTTATTGGTGATATGAGAACCGAAGCACTTTAATTGTTCATGGTCAAAGATTCAAGTTATTTTCCTAATCAGATGCTAGTTATATTCCTAAATTAATTATATTAATTTATGTGTATAAATTAATATAATCTATAGCGTTCGTCAAAAGTTTTAAAAAATTTGTTTGTATTCGATCCGTATTATAATATTTTCGCATCCAAAATCATTTCAAAAACCGACAAAGTTGTCTAGCGATTTGCATTTAGAGCGATCTTTGGATATTTGTCGGATTATCATTCATAACACTTTGTTGTCAGTTGTTATTTTAGTGATACACTTGATACTATTGTTGATGTGAGGACAGAAAAGCAATTGAAGTAGTTTTTGATCTTTTAAATTTTAATCGGGGTATTTCCACTTTTTTGTTGATAGTTGAGTTTTTTAAGAGGGTAGATTCTTTAGCGGTTGTGGCTATTTCTTGAGAAGCTAATAATGCACAAGATGAAGCATCTTCTTCCACTTCTATTCGACTTATGCTACGATGCATGCCCATCTTCTACCACTGTTGGTTTTGTTAAAGAAACTACATTGGATAGTTGTTTGGTGAAGGATTGTGATTTGGGTAAAGTGCCTTTGTCATTTGAAGTTAGTGAAGCAAATGAGTTTGAAAGCAAAGAAATAATAAAGAAGTATATGCACCTCAGTGCTCTTAGGAGCAATTTTGAGTTTGGTATAGTTAGGTTAAACTGTTATTTTTACAGCTTGCATTGTGTAGGTGGTGAGTGTACTTAGGTGGTGAGTTTTTAATTTAAATTGAAATGTGACTTTATGTGAGAGCTTTTTACTGTAGTAAAAAAGTTAGATGTGACTATTTCTGAGAGTTTTTTACTGTAATAAAACTCGAATCGGTGAAATTGTTGGAAAAAATGGCTTATTAAGCCATTTTAAAGGCCCATTTTGAGGCCCATGTTTGAAAGGGGCCCAATAGGTTTTGAGACGGGTCTCGATGGATTTGCGTTCTTCGTCACGAGGAGATCGAAATCAAGTATTCATACACTCAAAATGGATTTTGGGTGAATGAGAAATTGATGGTCTAAGTATGGTACTTGGAATGGCATATGTAGAAGGAAAATTGCAAAAGTCCCACATTGGCTAGGAGTGAAGCCAATGAGGTGTTTATAAGTGATTGCACTTTGAAACTTAGGTAAGCATGTATACCAGAGAGGCTCTCTCACGCGCAGGGGGGGGGGGGCGAATCACGGGCCCGGCGGGTTTGGGGCCTAATGTGTGCGCCTGCGGACACGAATGCTGTTTTGAAAAACCCGCTCCGCGCGAGCTTACTTTTGCGATTTTATTTTTGCTCTAGCCAAGACCTTCCAGCTTCCGTTTGGCATAAAACAATGATGGTTAAAGACCATAATGAGACCTTAATGGTGATCAATAGAGGCAAACCGAATCAAGCTTTCATGGCTTCGGTTTTCCATCATCAAAAGCTGAATTACTAGCCAG